CCCCCAATGTTTTGTTAGATCTACTGTGTGATATCTTGCATTGGATAAAACTTAATTGCTATTTTGTGAAAATACTGGGTAGAATAGGAATCAATTAATTTATTAGGCGTAAAGGAAATCCTTGTATACTCTGGTGGTTCAATACATTGACAAATTCATTTGGTGGGATATCTTGCTTTTGACTTTCCAGCCATGATTTTCTACCTTTCTAAGTAACCTGGTGGTTCTGTGTTGCAGGTCGCGGCCGTGGAAGAGGGGGAGCTCGTGGGAGGGGCCGTGGAATCAAATCTAATGGACCAGTCCATGTGGCTGCTGGAGGTGCTTAATTGGTGGAGATAAGGGTGCATTATGGAGATTATGTTTTCTGCACTTATGGATGCCTGCTCCAACTCTATGTCTTGCTTTTTCAAATTCATTTCTAGTATTAACATTAGGATTTGATCTGTAAGTTTAGTCTAATTTAGAATATTGTGACTGCCATAAAGTGGTAAAGCCTTTTTGTTTTCTTTTCTCCTTATGGTAGATTAGGTGCTTTATTAAATGTAACTTGCTTAGTGAGCAGCACATTCTTTTATTGTTATTACGATGAAAGTGTTTTTTTTTTCCCCTTATTTTAAGACTTGTGATCTTTTCCGGTGCTAGTAATCAGTGCTAATCTGGTTCGTACTAGAGAAAGAGTAATGAATGGTACTCGGGTCTGTTGGACCTTCTATTAGGTGTTGTATCTGCTCGATTGGTAGATTGATTTCATGAACTTTTCCCGCGCGAGTAAACAAAGCAAATATCTTCCCAAACACAATTTTGCTGATTAAAATTTTTTTAAAAAAAGGAAGATAGGATCTGTCATATTTTTTTTATTTTTGAAATTCTATTTTATTACAAGCAGGGTTCTCGAAAAAGCGGAAAACTAATGAGCGCCTCCTGCTGCACCTAAAAAAAGAAAGGAAGATAGCAGGTGCCTTTTTTTTATTTTTGAAATTCTACCTTATTGCACGGAGGGATCTTGGGAAGCAAAAAATTTAGCATATGTCTTTTTTGTAAAAATTTTTTTGAAATTCTATTTTATTACAAGAAGGGATCTGGGAAACAAAAATCCTATACTACTACGAGGGGGAATGCCTCTTATCCTATACTATTGCGTGGGGGAATATGCCTCCTGGTGCGCTTGTTTTGTGAACTTGTCAAGTTGCGGTAATAAAATTTACAATCATGATAGAGGTAGGAATTGAACTCCAATCACAGGGGAGAAGCTATAGAGCTCAAATCGCTCTGCCATCCATTCGTTTCTAGCATTTGTCACACAAGATAGGTTTAGATGGTGTGACATTTAAATCAACGCTTTCAGTAATAGTTTAATCCGTGTAAAATGAAGAAAAATAAGGATGAAGAAAGTTCTTTTGGATTTTTCAAGAACGCCTTAGGCTGGCGTATTCAAATTTCAGTGAAAGATGTGCGTGGCCTTGCTGGGGAAATGAAAGGTCTAGGATTTAGAAAAATGGGGGCCCTATGCCGATCCATCCAGGGGCTGGGGACGGCGGCGGATGTGCACTTTGACATCGCTCCAATTTATCCTCGTCTAGGAAATGGAAATACTTTTATTGAGAGGTGTCTTGCAAGAAACATAAATGAATTAGAGGTAAGAGTCTCCCGTCGAAAAAGGATTCTTTCTACTATCGATAAAAACGATTTTCTATTTTTTAGGTTTTTTTTTTCCCTTACTAGTTAAGTGGCAACGTAGGGCGCTATTCAATGAAAAAAAACAGAGAGTTTAGGAGAGTGGTTTAGGTACAAGGGGAACGGTCTTTTAAGGCCAAAAAGCCTGCTTTACTCGGGATACTTCAACAAAATGGTGTAGTAGTTTCTAGACAACACAATAAACATTCACACGTGGTATTAAATGGAACATTCACAAACTAGAAACCGGGAGCTCTGTCCTACAGTAATATAAGTCTGGGACCAACATAATATGACTACAAAATAAAGTGAACTAGCCCAGTTTGGCTATTGGTAAACTTCAATTAGTCCCTTGAACTCCAACATCTCAATTTAATTGAGTCAAATTGGAAAAGTTCTATTTTTTTTCCGGAGGAAAAGTTTCTATTTGGTCCTTTGAAATACTTTGAAAGTATCAATTTGGTCCCTAACCCAAAATCGCAATTTAAATTAAAGACATCAGTTCAGTCATATAAAGTGAGAAGATTTTTTGATTTAATCTTCCAAATATGTAATACTAAAAAATATAAAATAAATCTTATATACACGTCATTATAAATTATCTTTAAATAGATGTCACAGTAAGTTTACTATTTTATCAAAATCATTTTATTTTTAATAAACCACTTCTAAAAATAAACCTAGTATATTTCACGAATAATTCTGCAAAAGATTTGTTCTTCTCTTATAATCTCCTACCTCGCGACATCTACATCTTCTATTTGACTTTTGCATTATTCAAACCACCAATAGATCTCAACCATCATTGTTTCATAATTAAAATAAGGATAAAAGATTTTTTTTATCAATATGGAGGAACTGATGTAAACTAATAAAATTTTGGGAAAATTTTTGGGATCTAGGGAGGCATTAAATCACGAATCATGTAGGGAAAAGAAACTTTCTCTTCGAACTATGGAAAGATATACATTTTTGTAATTAGATGTAGAGAAAGAAAAAAGGGTAAAGTACATAAAACCCCCTTGTGGTTAAGGAAATTGGCACGAAATCTCCTCATTGTTTAGAAACTCCCACTTAACCCCCATGTGCTTTGGACTTGTTTGGATTTTACCTGCTAACCGGTTGGGGAGCTAGCGAGTGATATTTACGCGACTTAATGGTAACTTGTGTCTAGCAGAAAAGAAACTTTCTCTTCGAACTATGGAAAGATATACATTTTTGTAATTAGATGTAGAGAAAGAAAAAAATTTGGGAGTTACAAAGGCATGAATTTTGAGTTTTGAATTGGGACAAGTGACTTTCACTTCAATTCACCATGCAATATAAGTGGGAACAAATTGCGGAAAGTGAAAAACTAAATACATTTAGAAAGTAAAAGCATGAAAACAAAGGCAATGGATGGATAGACTTGTT